AAGAGTGGTTTTCAAGATTCCCCAAGGACAAGAATCAACATGTTGTCTGAATTTATGCTGCTTCCCTTGATTTCTCCGAAGCAAAATTGTTTGTAGCATGCCCGCAGGAGTTTGGACAGCCCCGTGGTCCTCTGTGTGTTCCCCATTTTTCCTCAAGTAAGAAGGCGGTTTCAACCATGCCCCATGTGGTGCAAACAAAAAAAAAGGGACTTCGCCGCGCCAAGTTGCCGAGCTCAGGTTGGTCAAGGAGCTTTTCGCTGAAGGACCTCAAGGCGACGCCGAGGAATGCGAAGAGCGTGGCTCGCCGGATCTTAGCCCGGCTCCTTCTAGCAGGGAGGGCCGGATACGAAACCCATCGAAGCCCTCACTTAATGAGTTCCTGGACTTTATGTTTGGGAAGACCATGTTGGTTGTAAACAAGCAAAAAAAATAGCCTTCAATGTTGAAGTTTAACTAGGACCTCCGGAACGTAGATGTTTTACTCGCAAGTGCGGTGTTTTACTTGAAGCGATGTTTGCATGTCCATGTTGCGGGTGTTTGGCTGCCACTCTTCCAATGGATGCAGCCTTTACATCATAAAGAACCCCGACCCAAGGGCCCTCAACAACAACCTGGAGGGCCCAAAAACAGGCGGGACCCTTTGGGTAAGGTTTACTAAGCATGGGCCACAATCTGAACAAACGTGTTTAGGTTGCTGCAAAAGCTGAGGTCGTCTAAACTATCCGTACATGACTACTTGAAAGTCTTGGACACAGGTCTGGAGATCCGATCCATTGCTTGTTGGAGGTTGTTTAACAATGCTTCAGTGTATTCATAATCGAAACCTGGTACTGAAGTGGTTGACCCCAAGCCACGTAAAGACTTAAGAGGGCTGCCTGACCTGTTTCTGGCTGTCACCTTAAGGGGGGGGGTTGCAGCTTCGGCTGACAAGACCTGGAACTTCATCGCCGAGGGAAGGGCAGGGAACCTGGCTTGAAATCGATTCGGTACAGGCGAGTGGTTTGTAGCGGGCACTTACGACCCGAGAATCAACCTGGTGGATGGACAGGCCAGCATCTGAAAGACCCCCTAAATCGGACGCCTCGTGATAATCAACAAGACAATGCCACTCCACTTGCACACCACTTACACATATTATATGCATACTTAAGGACCAACATACTTCCCCCGCAAGCGATCCCCAATGCCCAATTCCCAAGCAAGCGTGCTTGAGGTCTTACTAAGCATTACTAAGTCTGTCTCAAAATAGGCTAGGTCCCGCAGTAGTGCCCCTTGTACCTTTTTTTGGGGGGAGGGTTCCCCTACTAAAATAGACTACAGAGAAAAGTTGGTACCCTTATTCCAACCTCTCAAATCTGGAGGGCCTAGTAGAGGACCCCCTTTTTTTTTTTTCTTTTCGGATGGCTTCAACGAGAGAAACGGCGCCCATCGGCCCAGGCGCGAGCCTTAGCCGAGAACGGTGCGACGCCCGTGGCACCGTCGTCGCCTTCCCCCGAGCAGCTGCGGTCCACGAGTCAGCTGACAGGCGCCTGGACGCCCTCCTTCAGCCCAGAGCAGATGGCTAAGGAGCTCCGCCGAAGAAGCCCCCACTGTTTTTGGGTCCAAATGAAGGGGCAGAAGCAGCCAGGTTAACATGGGACCTGTTTTGGGTGTGTGTTTTTCAAGGGTGCCCTCACCCTTTGCAACCTAAACACGTTTGTTCAGATAATGGCCCATGCCCAGCGGTTTCCACACCCGAAGGGTCCCGACGGTTTTGCTGTTGTTGAGGGCCCTCCAAATGGGTCGAGGTTCCCCATTGGAGGGTCCGGGGGTCGAATTGCAGGGGTCATGACCCTTGGGGAAGCTTTTTGTGTGTGTGTTTCCCTAAATAGTGCTTATACTAAGGGATTCTTACGGTAAGAGTTAAGGCCGGTTTAGATCGAGGTTCGCGCTCAAATTGCTGGCATTTTGTAAACAAGTTGCGGCCCTTGGGCCTTCTTAGAGAACACAACCCTTCCCAACAGAATCCTGCAAGTTGGTGCGAGTCCTTCGCGTGTTCGAATTGTCCACACTCCGAAGCCGTTAAAGTTTTTTAAGTTTGAAAGAGGGTGCGAATTGACCGTCCCACTCCTGCCACACAAAACGGAGTTGGAAATTCGATCCGCCGGTGATCCGGAAACAAGCAAGAGGCATAAACATTTGTGTCCTCCTAAAGCATTTGGAGTCTTCTGACCCGACCCAAGCCTTCCATTTCAAGTCTGTCTTGCTGGAGGCTTTCCGGGACACTTTCTGGGACCCAACGCCTGCCAAGCTGGTTTCTGATAGCGGGACGGGCCAGGAGGTGGTATACACTTGGGCGCTTGGCCAATTTAGTAGGCTCCCAGTAAACCAGATTCTCCAGTGTCGGTGACCATGAAAGGTGCTCCTTGGCCAAGGTGCCTTTTGCATACCGTTTCCGTTGTTGCAATCCTACTCACCAGCTGCGCTGGTTGGCTGCAGGGCACCACCCATCCACCAACCCCATCCACCAACCCCATCCACCCCACCCACCTTGTCACCCCGGCTTCCCACCCCACCCACCCTACCCACCCACCCACGGGACCCACCCTAGCGTGCGTGCGCGCGCGCGTGCGTGCGTGCTTTCGTGCGGCGCGACGAAGACTGGGGGTCTCATCCCCACGGTGTCTGCGATGTTTTCCGCCTAGTGGCGCCAGCCCCACTTTTGCCGAAAGCTCGCCCACTTGATTGCAAACATGCCCGCTATGTCCGCCCACTACTCCTTGGGTGGGGTTGGGTGGGGCCGTGGTTGTGGGGTGGGTGGGTGGGGGTTGGATGGGAGGGTTGGGGGGTTAGGTACGCTGCTTGGCAATTCAATCAAGCTTTGTATTGGAACACTGAGTGGTCACCGGCGCGATTTTAGGGGATGTGATAGGGGAGGGTCATGCATTTGTAGCTCCTTGTCGGACGCTGCCACTGCGAGCGCGGCCTGGGGCCCTGAAACGCCCCAGTGCGGAGTGGGGTTGAAAATCAAATCCCCGCTGCGCACGGGCCTGTTTCCAATTTGTGGGTCATGCTGCTTTTGCCGGAGTGACTGCTGGCCGTTTCCCCAAGCTTGGATTGAGCTCCTGTTATTCCACCTTTGTGCGCGCCCCATGGCAAATTCAGCTTGCGCGCGGTTTTTTGTAGGTTTCCTTAAATCTGTGAAGCGATTCCAGACGGTTGACGGATATCTCGAGGCCCCGTTAGAGTGATTGCCCACGCTGGAATGTTCTGCGCATCGCAGAGCAACAT